AGCCAGGCCCTGGGCCTGTGGCTCTCAGGAGGTCTGTGTCCTGTCTGTAATAGGTTGTGCCAGGAGCCCCTGGAGGCTGCGAGGCAGGAGTCTGCTGCTTGTGTGGACTGCGTGCGTGCGTGCGTGCGTGCGTGTGAGAGTGTGCTCAGCCCCTCGTCAGACTTCTCCGGGCGCATGGCTGCTTTTGTTTTGTGCTTCTGAGGGTTCACCCTAGATCTCCTGCAAGCTAAACACGCTCTAGCACAGTGCTCTAACCCTGGCCACTTTTAGATTTTTTAAAAATATGATCTGCAGTTTGCTTCTTACCACTTAAAGTACTCAGTATCTCTCTGGTGCCCTCTTCTGCTTTTATGAAATAGGCAGGTTACCTATCCATTCTGCCTTGGAATGTTGTGATCAGTGTGAAATGAAATGACAGCAAGAGTTCTGCAGAAGTAGGAACTGTGGACAAATACTTAATGGAGATAAAAATTAGGTTGGTGTGATCAGCATAAAAAAAGAAACAAGGAAAAATCCATGAAATCAGTCAATTCCTTTTGTTCTCAATCTGAAATCATTAGGTATCTGTTTTTTTAAAGATGTGGTTCTTTTGAGACAGGGTCTCAGATGCAGTACAGGCTGGCCTTGAACTCACTGATATAGCCCAGGCTGGCCAGACTCACAACAGTCCACGTCAGCCGCCATTGTCAAGATTACAGGCGGTGCCACCATGCCTGGCGGCATCTTTGTGTTTGAGAGCTCATTGTGGAAAAGGTAGGTGTCATCTACTGACAATATGTCTGCCAGTTAAAGGTCGGGGCAAATCAACATTTCTGGTCTACAAATTAGCCATGTAAGTATTTGATGGGTATGAATGGATTTACTAGCTTTTGACCAGCTGTGGATGACTGAGTAAAGTTTGATTTCTGACCTAATCCAGGAGCCTGCAAGTGACGACAGCCCTTGAGGTCCAAGAACAGCAGGCCTGGGGGAGAACACATGAGAGAAAGGTTTGTTTCTGCTGAATGAAATTTATGAGAATGTCTTAAAAATCTGAGTATCATCATATTACGCAATGTTCCTGTTTTCTTTTTCCTTTTTAGACCCTCAACAAGCTTTGTTTTCTGTGAAAAAGTATTTGTGTACAGTTGCTCCAATGACAGAGTTACCTGCACCCTTGTCCTACTTCCAAAATGCACAGATGTCTGAGGACAACCACCTGAGCAATATTGTACGTAGCCAGGTACCGTGTCCGCTTCTGAGAGCTCTCTTGCTAGAGGATTAGTTACCCCAACCTCAACTCCAGATGCTGGGGTGGGGGGATGGAGTAGGAAGACTTTCTTTCTTGAGTGTTTTTGAGACAGGGTCTAGCTATGTACTTCAAGTCCTTGAACTCCCTGTGTAGCTCAGGCTGGCCTCAAACTCAAAGCTGTCCTGCTTCAGCCTCCTGAGTGTGTACCACCATGCCCAGCTGGGACAGGCTTTCTTGACTTTACCAGATTTATGTATTTGTTGAACTTCAAATGAGAACAAAACATACCCTTTGGTCCGTCCCTTTGGTGGCAGGAGAGACAAGGCTGGTTTGTGGTTGTTGCTGCAAAGCCCTGTCTCGCAAACCCCATGGGGCTCTTTAAGATGTGGCTGCTACATTCCCTCTCTAGCTGTCACGCATCACCTTGCAGTTCAAACCTCCAGCTTCCTGAAGGGAAGCACCTCATAGTCCACATTGCGTATTAGTTTGCATCCTTTGTTCCTAATGCTCCTGTGGGGCTGAGTACATTTTATTTATACTTTTTAGTGTCTAGAAAAGTTGCAGCCATTGCTTAGAAGTGTTCATTGACTCAGTGAATACATTCTGAGTGCAAAGGCGGGAATCAGGAAGGGATATAGTATGTGGCCTGGCACCGGTGCCTCTTCCCTGGCTGTGCACTCGGAGGTGGGGCAGGACCTGGGGAAGCGCAGGGCTGGGGCCCACCAGGCACCTGCCCAGGGTCAGTCTGAGAGGAAGCAAACCCACGGAGGTTCGCTTTGTGGCTTGGAGCTTTTCTTACTACTCTGAACATACAGAATTCCTTACTTTTCTGTACAGTTAGGTAATTTACTTACTAATCTCAGAATTCTTCTCTAGCTCAAAAATTTGGTATGAGCAGAAGTTCATGATCAACTATCCTCGTCTGCCTGAAAGTAGAGGTTCAGGAACACAGTTTTGTCACCTTAGCACAAGTATGAAAGAAACTCCTTTTGGAAATGGGTAACCAAGGCTTCCCTGATTAGCGGGCTGTCTTACGCAACTTGCAGCACCATTCCAGGCTTGACCTGTTAGATAGTGTGCTGAAGATAACGCCGAGAGCGTTCTTCTTGCTCCAAAGGGCAGATGTCTTTGGCTTTACTTTCTCGGGTTCGGTACATGCATTGGTAGCCTGTGATGCGTGTTCCCCTGTGAGCTGCTGTGTGCATTCTTCTGTCGTCTCAGCGCTGGGCACTGAATGCGGAGACTTTGCGCTGAGCTGCTTCTCTCCGCCTTTTTTATTGGATGGGGCTAAGTCCCCAAGTCAGCCGTCGGCTAGCATATGCGTAGGCTCAGTCTCATGTTCAGAGTTTGACGACCGTCGGAGAGCTGAAAATAGTGGGTTGGGTTAGCCCAAGGATTTTTATTTCTCGTATTGTCGTTGTGAAGTGTTTCGAGCACATACCCCTGACTTTGTTAGACTTTCACATCCTGACTACTCACTGTGTATACCTTTCTGTTTTAGTGCTTGAATTTTTTTTTTTTTTTAATTTGTTGTTTTGGGGTAGCGCTGGGGATCAAGCCCCTTGGGACTTTTCATCTGCTAGGCAAGAACACTCTCAGAAGCTGCACCCCCACCCCCTTACGATTTTAGTGTGAGGCAGAGTCTTGCTAAATCGCCCAGGCTGGCCTCAAACTTGAGATCCTCCTATATCACTGCCTTCTAGTAGGGCTTTGAAGTGTGTTTTCATGAAGCTTTCTCTGTCCCTTTGTCTTTGTACCTCTCTCCCTTGTCTTCTCCTTCCCTTTCTCTCCCCGCTACCATTTCTCTTTTTCCTTTTGTCATTACTAATCAAACTAGAGGGATGGCCAGATAGCTGAGTGCACTAAAGCGCCTGCTTAGGCAGGCACAGGGACCATGGTTCAATTCCCAGTGTGCCATGCTGGCCCTGCCCTGGGGACACTCAGCCAGCAACTGAGACTGGGCATGGTGGCGCACACCTGTAATCTCAGCGCTTGGGAGGCTGAAAACAGGAGAATCACTGAGACCGATCTGTGTATGTAGTGAGACCCTGTACATCCTGTACTAAATACATAAAAAAATAGAAAATAAAAAACCAAACCGAAGGCGCATGCCAGGGAAGTGTTTACTGTTGAACTGTACCCTTACTCCTTGTTTTTGTCTGTCTTCTTTCTGTTTGCTTTCTTTTTAATTGGGACGGGGTCTCACTGTGTCGTGTAGGTGGCCTTGAACTCACTGTATGGCCAGGCTGCCTTGAAGAACTTGCAGTTACTCTCCTGCCTCAGCTTCCCAAGTGCCAGCCTAGGCTACTTGATGAGTTCATGGCCAGCCTGAACTGCATGGCAAGACCCTGTCACATGCACACACACAAAAAGAATAATAAAAGTTGGAGAAAAAGTTAAGGCAGTTTTGAAATTTATATAAATGACTACCATTGCAAAAGAGACATTCCCATGTTTTGGGAATTTATGAGTGTATTGATGCATGTAGCTCTAGTCCAATTTTTTCCTCTTTTGTGAATATGTAAAATTATTCTGTTTACAAATACTTGCTATTTTCTGGTTTTAAACAATAACCAGTAATACTACAGTGATAGTTCATTGATCCTTGAGTATATGTATTGAGTTTCTCAAAGATAGTTTCTGTGACTGGGTTTTAAACTATATTAACGATTGATCTTGTGAGCGGCTTCACCCTACAAGTGCACTGCGGGCCCATTCGCTAGCATCCTTCCAGTTGCTAGGGCTTCCAACTCCTTGCATGCTAGTCTGACTGAGGGGCCTAAGTGGTGCCTCTCGTTACTTATTTTGTTGTGCTGGGGTTGCACCGGGCCTCCTGTGTCCTGGTGCTGCCCCGCGCACCCCAGCCCTCGTGTTCCTTTAATTGTATTTCCCCAGCTGTTAGTGAGGTTGGACTTTTTCTTACGGTCATTGATTGTTTGTAGCTCATGCGTGAGTTGTCTATTCATGTTCTTTGCCAGTGTTAGCACTGATCGTTTGCCTTTTTATTACTGGTTTTATGGAAAATCCATTTAGGAGGGATGGGATACTTACGTTGACCATATGCTTTTAAAATATTTTCTCATCTGTAGCTTCAGTCTGTGTACAGTGCCTACTTTACGTGACTTCATCTTTCCTTTAAAATTGTATTTGTATTTTTCAATTTAAAATATTTTAAGAAAATATGCAGTAGATTAGGCAGGCCTAAATAAGAAGAGCCTTCTATATCTTACAGATACTGAAACATCAGTACCCAGCAGAACCTGCCATGTGTGTAGTCAGCTGTGGTTCACTGTTTTATCATTGTATTATCTTTGGGGGTGTTCTGAGGCAGGGTCTCGCTGTGCTGTTCAGGCTGGCCTTGGACTTGCTTGTGTAACCCAGGCCGGCCTTGAACTCACAGGGAGAGGGATTCCAAGCGGGTGCTGGTGTGCCTGGCCGTCATTATGTTCCTCTAGACTGGGAAAAGGAACAGGGTGGGCACTCTTGGTGGTTTTCCCCTTTCATTTTCCCAGTCCCAGCATCTGAACCCGAGAACCAATAGCAACCAAGAGACGGCTGGTCTTGTCCAGGGCTGGAGCCTGTGGGAGGCCGCTGTCTTGTCCTGTGAGGTCCTGGGTTCACACCCTGTGCCACAAAGCAAAAAACTGACATTTATGACACATCCTGAAGATTTTTGCCACAAATACTAAAACAGGCCAGGCTCCAGGAGGCTGATGCAGGAAGGTCAAATTGAGCACAGCCCAGACAGCCTGACGAGAATAGAAAGGGCTGGGCTGGAGCTCGTGTGATGGCCCAGGCAGGGTCCCCAACACTGAAAAAAATAGTGTTTCGATGTTACCTCCCACCTTTTTTTTTATGTATGTGGTACAGGGTCTCAGTATGCAGCTCAGACTCATAGTGATCCTTCTGTTTTCAGCCTCCCCTGCGCTGGGATTACAGGCATGAGCCACCACACTGGGACTCTGTCTCTGGCTCAGTACACCCTGGGGGCGGGGGTGGTGCGGCATGTGGGATGGGGTTCGATCCCGCCTTGCCTAAGCAGGTGCTTAGTCCTCTGAGCGATCTCGCCAGCCCTGATTTACCTTTTGAATCTTGGTTGTCTGAAAAGCTTGCCCAGGTAAAGCTGCTGTCAGTGTCATAGATGTTTCTGGCGTTGTCAGCTTCCCACTTTTTGGAATTTTTAATTACGTTTATGTTTGTTGGCTACATTTGGGTAACACATTCCCTAAAGGCAGAGCTCTGTCCGTGGTTCTGAGCTGCCTGTGCAGTCTGGAGGTCACTCACACCAAGGTGGCTTCATTCTCGGCAGAAAAGGTAGAAAATGGTTCTGGAGCTGCTTCTTACAGAAGTGCACGAGAGAGAATTTAAAAATCTGGTGCCTTGAATGGGAATCTGAAATGGGTTCTCTTGACTGACTACGGGATTGCTGCGCAGTTCCTCTGCTGGTTTCTGGGTTCTGTTCCGGGGCCTCTTCCTTGGCCACCTGTGTCCCTGCCCTTTCCTCAGGGGCCTCTTCCCCAGCCATCTGTGTCCCTGCCCTCTTCTCAGGGGCCACTTTCCTGGCTACCTGTATCACTGCCCTTTTCCGGGGGCTCTTAGTGAGACAACTGTGTCCCTCCCTTGTCTTGGGGGTCTCTTCCTTGGCCCTCAGTGTCACCACCCTGCCTTCAGAGACCTCTTCCCTGGCCATCTGTGTCCCTGCCCTGTCTTGGGGGAGGGGCTTCTTCTCTGGCCTACCCATGTCCCTGCCCTGTCTTGAGGCCTCTTCCCTGGCTGCCTGTGTCCCTGCCCTGTCCTAGGGGAAGAGGCTCTTCCCTGGCTGCCTCTGTTGCTGATCTACCCACCTCACCCCACAGTGTGGGTGCAGACCTACAGTTTGTTATAGAACCATGGAAGAGAGCCTGACCTGTCACAAGGCCACAGTGGAGAGCCAGTGCTCTTTATCCTCAGGGAGAGCTGTCCTGCTTCTGTAGAAAAGGGCCTTCAGGTGG